CCAAGCACTCCTTTGCACACTCGTCCGAGCTACTGAGTACAACCCTTGAACCGATCTAATTTATCCTTAAATTATACGATAGATGGGCAAGTATAGATACCTAGTAAATACCCCGGGCGGCCTAGCCGAATTCAGGAAAGACTACCAAATACCTGACGACGTCCAGCTGGTTTTGGTCGAAAAAGACATCACACCCTGGGATAATGAAGGCTTCGTCCCCTTCACCCTTTTATCTATCATCGAAACCGGCCTGAGGTTTTTGGTTCAACCGTTGATCTGTGAATTTCTTAGGCAGACTAGATTATGCCCTACCCAACTGTCCACCAATACGTACCGCATCATCATGGGAATAGCCGCACTGAACCACCAAACCGGACTAAATCTTGGCTTGGCCGAAATATTCCATCAATACTCCATCGGCTCAAAAGAAGATGGGTGGGTATATTACCTTAGGATACACCGCCGCCGAGAGAAGATAATTAAACACACACCAGACAAAGATGTAAATGACGACGACTTTTTTTGGGTCTCTGGGAACTTTGAGGATTTTCAAGCCCAAATTCCTGGCCAACCTATAAATTGGAAAAAAGGGGAGCCCGGTAATTTAACTTCAGCCTTGTTTTTTGCAATTTTTTATTTCGGTTTTGCTAGTCCATCAACCGAACTAACAGTTGTCTTTATTTTCGCAGATTCTGCTCACCTTCATTCCGTGTACAATTATCTAAATCTTGCTGTGTTGCGAGCCGCACTACGGTATCCTGAACGTAGTTGGACCAAGTTGCTGCAATTCGATCCGACCTACCGATATAGCGGTCGCCGAAAAGCCCAAGTGACCGATTTCCTCCTTGAAGACGCACCTGAACCGGACCCAACCCTGCCCGAGATACGACTTGTTCCACTGACTGCAGAAGAAGAGATGGCAAAGAAAAGCAGAGTTAGGGCCCTTCTGACCGAAACAACTAGGCCCGAGGTAACACCACCCAGCCAATCGCAACCTGCTGTTGTAGCCCTCCCTTCTCAACAGCCATCCTCTTCTCGCCGAACCAAGCGCGCCCGGACTGCTGAGACCGAACAAGTATTGGTTGATGAAGCAGAACCCGTACTTCCGCCGAGCTTGCCACCGAGCCCCCAACTGGTTCCTTCTGACCGAACTACCGACCGCTGGGGCCCAAAACTTACCTTTAACGACCGAGACATCCGAAATACAGATTCGGTCGTTGCTGAAAAAGACCATTTATTGGCCCTCAATCTGGCCAAGGGTGTGTGCCTCCTTAAAGACATGGAGCATCACCAGAAACAACTGAATACCGAGCTAAAGGCCATCCGGTCAACGACAAAATCCATGATTCTGGTAGGCAACTTCGGTCGTTTTGCTGTCTACTTTCTTTTTTCAACTTCTACTTCGGTTTTAAAGGGAAATCTTTGCTTTGTCAGGCCCTTCAAAAAAACCAAATTACTTACAAGAAAGTGCTTGAGCTTAGGAAAATAACAAGGCAAGCGGCGGCGGAGGCCGAAGCAAAAACGACCGAGCTAGAGGAGGCCCGAAAGCAGATGGCCGAGCTATGCGGGGAGGTCGGCAGGCTGACCGGACTGGTTAATTCGGCGGAAGCCGAAAAGCAAAAGACTGCCATTGCTCTGAAGGATAAATACCTGCGCGAGCTGGTGAAGCTTGAAAGAAAGAAAGATGCCGAAATGAAGGAGAGGGCAAAGGAAGCTGACAAACAATGCTTCAAGAGGGCAGAGGATGCTTATGCCCAACAATGCAATGCTGCCAAGGAGCTGTTCTTTAAGTGCGGCTGGAGGGGAGCCGTTGAGAAGCTCGGTCATGACCCTCAGACTGAGGTTTTCAACCCTCCAGCCTACTTTATACCAAACTCCCTGATGGAATACGCTAATGCCATGCAACAGCAATTTCTCGAGGACTCAGACTCAGATGAAGACTCTGCCCCTGAGGATACTCCGGTCGTGAATGTAGATCAGGTAGTTCGGTCGGAGCCCATGGTGGAAGATCTAACTATTGATCAACCAAGTGAAACCGTGGTTCCGGCCGAAACCACTCTTCCGACTGAAAACGTCCTTGCGCCCGAAACCGGTCTTCAGGTTGCTGCCGATGCTGCCTTTGACGCCGAGATCGAAGATCTTTTTTCTTGATTTTTTCTCTTTGTTTGTTATCTTTTCTTTGTAACCGGGTTATGCCCCTTCCCTTGTAATGGTTTTGCAATAAATGAAAAATTTTGCTTGAACTCTTATTCCAGTTTTAGTTTGTATGCTTGCCTTTGTAATGCTTTCTATTACTCCAACTGCTATTTCGGTTTTTTTCTTGTTAGACTATGCTTACCAGCCAACCACTCCTTAGCCGACATAATTACTTCGGCTGAGGAGTACACATAGTTTGGTTTTTTCCAGCCAACCACTCTTCAGCCATATCCTTACTTCGGCTGAAGAGTACCAGAGTTGGTTTATTCCAGCCAACCACTCTTCAGCCATACCCTTACTTCGGCTGAAGAGTAACAGGAGTTGGTTTATTCCAGCCAACCACTCTTCAGCCTTACCCTTACTTCAGCTGAAGAGTAACAGGTGTTGGTTTATTCCAGCCAACCACTCTTCAGTCGTATACTTACTTCGGCTGAAGAGTAACAGGAGTTGGTTTATTCCAGCCAACCACTCTTCAGCCGTACACTTACTTCAGCTGAAGAGTAACAGGTGTTGGTTTATTCCAGCCAACCATTGAAGAGCCATTTCCAGCTAACCTTACAG